GCTACCTCGAGTTTTTTGGTGGACGCTATCTCAGAAACGGTTAGAGATAGACTTCTGAAAGGGTCATAAATCGTCGTATCGCATGCTTTTAAGACGTTTTAGACCATCCGTTTTATTCTCATTTTCCGTTAGTTCACTGTCTATATATATATATTTGTTCCTTTTAGTTTACTTTTTGCATGTAAAATTTGTTTTTTGTTTTCCCAGTCTTGTAGTTTAATGAAAATAATCTGCCTATTATGTTTTTCCAATTTATTTGCAGTTATTATCTTTGGTTTTATTTGCAATTTGGTATAAATAATCTGCCCAACCTCCTCTTTTATTTTCTCTGCAGTATTTCCTTTTATTTTGCAACCCGTTACTACTATATTATTTCTTTTTTCATTTTTTTCTATCTTTTCTAGTTTTTCTCCTAGTTTTTCTACTCTGCTTTTCAAAAAGGTTTTTTCAGTTTCCCATCTTTCCCTTTCCTGTTTGTATTCATTTCCTGTAACTCTTGTAAGAAATATTTTTTTACTTATAACTTATTTTCATATGTTTAGAAGAGGAAACATTTTTTTGTTGAACAAATGAATTCAGAAGCAAAATTTGTTTTTTAATGAAGATATTTTGTCTCTCGCTGTAAACGTGGTTGTGACTCTTCAGTGTAAAAACCTGTTGACTACGTTGTTTTCGAATACATCGACCAAATAAATCAATTTTATTGCCCATTTCTCATTATGCACAAGTTCGGATGGCGTAATAAAATGTTTTTGATTGTTTCTACAGTCAATAGCTGCATAAATATGATAACCTCTCGATGTTCGTTGGATTGTAGAAAAACGTCTTAAAGCACACAACAATTTTAGTACAAAATATAACGTACAATAAATAAACTTAAAAAGTAAAACACCTGAAATATTTGTGCGGTGGTGTCTACACAAATGCTTCTGAGCTTAAGATGGCTGCCACGTTGCGCGATGTAATTACTCTAATTTTCTCGTAATTGGACAGTTTCACTGCTGTATCAAGTTGTATTGTAAACGCATTACTTTTCTTCAATCTACCAATCAATTTATCTTTAATGTGGTCTAAAATCTTATGGATTCGATTATTTCAATATTGAACTGCTGCTTTGGTTACTGAGTTTTCTTCGAGTATGCAGCTGATACTTAAGGTGCTTCATTACAATTGTAGGTAGGACAGGGCGGGATCACTTGATTATGATCTTGTTCCAGTCATTGTAGGACTCTCATCAAGAAAGAACAAAACCATATTTATTCTTGAGTCAGTTCTTTATTTATTTAGCAGTGTAATATTATCAAAAAACTTTGACAAATGTGCTGGTTTTAAGATTAAATCAATACTAAATATCAAAAAATCAAGGTCCTCAGTTCTAAGACTGGTTGGACACACACCTGCACTTTTCCCTATCGTGAGCTAATTTTATGGATCAATAGACCCCATATGTGGGACCTATTGAACCACCCAAAAGGGGTCTGTTGACATAATCAATTTTAAACATATAGAAACGTTAAATAGAGGTAACCAATCTTTATTAAATATATAACACGAGTTATATTACAAAAATTTTATACAGTAAAACCTGTGACCTATACTTCGGTCACTTTCAATGTTTGTGCAAACAAAAACTGCACCTGCACCAGTAGTACGCTTGGCCACCCAATCACGGCAACTAGTGCACTGTAGACTTTGTTCACCTGGAGAACCATCTGAATAGGCCTCAATGCACATCAGACAGAAATAATTGTGCACTTAGATTTACTATCTTCTTTTTATTCTTATTAATTTTAATCTCCTCCTCAGACTCTGATGAACCCTTAAAAATTGCTTTCTTAACTGTCTCTTTCTTGGTCTTTTCTACGTTCTTCCTAGATTTGACTTTCTTTTTGCTTTGTTCCAAAGCATGCGCTTCTTTCTCAAGAGCATCCGTTAAAACAGTTTCTCTATTTTCTCATGTATGTTCTTGTTTTCTGGGTCACGCTTTAGAAAATAGTCTCACAAACTCAGATGAAAATGGAGCATCGCCTTTAGATGAAGATGGTATGTGAAATTAGATGTTAGATCTTCTCTATCAATTGACGAATTTTGAGTGGCTCATGCAGGCAGTGGCAGGTAATTGCAAAAGCACAGACGTTTCAACCTACACCGCAATAGCTGATGGATCACTGGTCTCATCGACATTCCATAATCTCGAAAGCGGTGAAATGATGTCGCCCTTCCTAAGCTGATCGGTTCTGGCTTTTAATAGATATTTCTGTATTTTTCTTAAAGAAAGCGGATAGCCAATTCTTCCAGCTAAATTATTTATATGCCAACTGACATGAAGCTTTCTGTTACATTTCACGACGCATTTATAAATATCTGTTTTGAAACCTTGGTAAACCGACACTTAGCAAAGTATTCAATCCTAAAACTGACTCTTATAATATATAATACAACTAAACATATTGGAGGTCCCTTGAACATGATTCATTAGACCCCATTTGCTTTAACTCAAACGATCCCTTTGCCAAATTACTTCTGATTTACTAAATCATTCAAAAACCATTGTTAATTATTTAATTTTGATATTAGTAACAGTTGTAATCATTATTTTGAATGAAAAATATATTTACTTAATTGCCATACGTTCACGTACGCATGTTTGAAATCAAAATGCAACGAAACTATATTTTTTTACTTTTGGTGCCAACCTGGTAACAATGCCCATGCACATTCAACCCGAACGCTGAGCGGTGGCAGCGTTGCCAGGTTCAGTAGATGAAATTATCCCATTACTTAGGAAGAATTATCGTACCGGCAGCGAAAATATCGTACACTACTAAGCATGCGCACAAGAAAAAAGGCTAGTGGTGGGGGTATGAGTTCGAAAAGAGTTTTTATTCATCAACTGTTCTCTTAGTTCTACCATACCATGAATAGATGACACTATACGAACCTTCCTGACCTTAGCCAATAACTACATAGAAAATTTAAACACAAAGTAAATTGGAAAATACCACAAATGACGTGGTGAGCGCCATCTGTAGTATGATGCTACATTTTAGGATTACGTATGCTCCAGCAAGGTCCATTTAAAAATATGGATACCTACTTGCTGAAACGAATCCCGGCGTAGCTCACCTCAACGTGATAGGCACGTTACCAAAATCGAACAAAATAATTCGAAATGGTCTGTGTTCTGTCAAAACTGCCAGACGCGGATCGCGATTTCGATCTTTTTGGATCTCATGAGCGCGTCGCAGGCAGCTCCGACAGAACACAGACCAACCTTTACCTGCTGTCTTAACATCACCACCACATCATTTGTGGTATTTTCTAAAATGGGCTGTTAAGACAGCAGGTAAAGGTTGGTCTGTGTTCTGTCGGAGCTGCCTGCGACGCGCTGATGAGATCCAAAAAGATCGAAATCGCGATCCGCGTCTGGCAGTTTCGACAGAACACAGACCATTTCGAATTATTTTGTACAACGTAAATTATTGCTAGAGCTTTTGAAATTTTGGAAAAGACATGTCTTGAGACAGACAAATAATTTAATTTTATATTATAAAATACAATCATTTTATATAATATATACGTTTACAATATTTTAACATGATAAAATGTAACATCACTATAACAGTAAAATTATTAATTTAGTTTTATTACAACAACTGTTCAATATATTTAAAAAATATTGTAATATCATGAAATGTTACACAACTATAACAGTAAAATTCCTAATTTAGTTTTATTATTATATCGTCATCGCTATCATTGTTATTATTATTATTTGAATTGAAACGAGACAACACGTCATCAGTTATCTCAAATTTATAGCATCCTCCATTCATTTCAACACATTGGCTTGTAAGTAGAAGCCCGTTGACGGTTGCTGAAACCAATTTATTTCGCGTTTTTGTTTTAATAGAATTTGTGTTTGAAAAAATTCTTTCGCATGCTGCACTTGAATGTGGAAGTGACAGTACAGTAAGTGCAAATTTACACAATTTTTGAAATTAGTTTGTATTATCAATGTCTCTCGATAATGACAACTCTGCCCAAAATTTGTCAGGTTCTGTATTCTTGAGATGATCAGGCAATTTCATCATCGGTAATTTTCGCCACTGGTCATAAATCAATTGATAAGTCTGAAAATCGTCAGGATTTATAATTTGCGGTAGTGATGTAATTAATGGCAACAATGTTGATGGTCTCGTTGGTGATGAAGATGTAGTTGTAGTGAATCCCAGACAGGACATTTTCGCCAAAGGTGAGTTTTCGCTGAAGCCGAATCGCTTTTTTAACTCCATGCATGTTGTTGCAATGAAATCTCGACATCTTTCCCGTATGTCCTTAACCATGTTTGTCCTGGATGCTATTTCTGGTCTTGAAAGTTCCCGCAATATTTTCACTCCCAAATACATGTTACCAATTGGTAAGAACGGAGTATTAGAATTTTTATTCTTTGGATCCGGATCTATTTCAGAAACATTTTTACGCAGCATATAAGTCTGGTCGATGTATATGGAGAGAAGATCTTTATATGCATATACCATCTTATCATATAGAATCTTGATGATCGTTTTATCACTTTGAAATAATTCATTTACCCCCACAATTTTTGGGAGAATCCACTCGAGGATAATTAAATAAATTTTAGTTTGCGGATCGTGCATTGCTTTATAAATATAATCAACTGATTTTAAACGTGGATCATTTTTGTCTAGCTGTCCAGTTTGATCAGATCGATCAGGATGTCTTAATATTTTTTGGAGAGTGATACTATCAAAATACAGACGAAGAGGTGACCACTGTTCTAATAATCGTTTCACAACTTCAAGTAAAGAGAGCTGGTCGTAAAATTTTGTGAATTTTAGCATCACAAAATTCCTGAAATTCTTGATATTGGGCAATCCTTTTCGATGAATTCTTGAAAAATGAGTGGACATTACGAGCAAAATCCTTAATGTGGCGCGGGATTTTTTCGCAAGCTTCACTCGCGACGAGGTGTAAACTGTGGCGATAAAGTTTAGCTATTTAGTCCATCAAGACAGAAGGGACGTTTCCCGAAGTTACAATAGGCTTGGGATCGCCCATACACTGTTACATGACGCATTAACGACGTTGTTTATTGTTGATCAGTCGTGATCCCCAGAAGGTTTTTATAAATAAAAGTCCAATTAATTAACATTATTATTTTACACATCTTCGTCTTATCTTCATCAATAAACATTGACACATATATTCTTCTTATTTAAATAAAAGAGTAGGAAATTGTGTTATTAACAGACTTGGATTTTCGACTGGAAGGAATAGTCTGTGGTCGAGCATTTGAATATAGAACCTAATTAAGGTATTAAGGTTGGATGTCCGTATTTGATATTGTTGTTTATACTTGTAGTGTTTGTTGTTTTTCCCTGTCCATCACGAGAATTATCATTTGGAACTGCTTACACTTGACTTTACAAGAATCATTGTCCAATTGGTTAAAAAAGTCCATACGCGAGACTGTCTTTAATAATAATAGTAATAATAATATAACGAACCAACAACAACAGGAACATATAGATAAAGAAGCTTCTAATATGTGGTTGAAAAAAGGAAACATATTCTCAGAAATTGAGGGATTCATGATAGCAATTCAGGACAAAATAATAAAAACAAAAAACTATGAAAAATATATTATTAAAAATCCCACAATTTCATCAGACACATGCCGAGCATGCAACACATCTCGCGAAACAATTGATCACATCACTGGGGGTTGCTCATTTTTAGCTAGCCGACAATACCTCGACAGGCNCCTAACTCCTGTTTCTGCCTCTAATATGTCTCTGACTAGACCTTCATGCCTGAGAAGGTGTCCTACCAAACTATCTCGCCTATTTTTTATTGACTTCCATAGAGTCCTCTGTTCTCCTATTCTTTTTAATATCTCTTCATTTCTAACCTTTTCTACCCACGTTATCCTCATCATCCGCCTATAACACCACATTTTGAACGCTTCTAACCTTTTCATTTCCGCCGCACCCACTGTCCATGTTTCGCACCCGTACAACGCCGTGATCCAAACATACACTTTTAACAACCTTTTTCAAATTTCTAATTTAATGAGTAATAACAAAACCAGATCTGAAGGTGATGATTTACTATGTTTGGTGATGATCCATATATGTCAGGAATTCCGTAGCTGTTATCCATCCTGAACTGTTTCCACGCCGGTAGATTCCGGTGGCCCTCCTTTTAAAAACAATTCCTTACATTTAAGTCTTGGGAAAATAAACATGGAAGTAACTGCATAATTAAACCCTCGTTAAACTGATACTCAAACTTGCTTAGTTATGATTCTTGGTTATGATTTTCTTCGGCTTTAGCATTGTGGTAACGCCCATTTCATCTAAATTATATATTCTTGAAATTAATATTTACCCAACACAGTGCTCAACTTTGTCAAAAATTCGCTAATATTGTGTTTGTCTAAAAATTAGTCCTGCTGGCACTTGTTGACTCCGGTGCTTCAATGCACATTTGTATGTTAATCTTTGGACTTCTAGTAAAAGACTGAAGAATATTAAAGCACATTTCAACAAATTTTATGCTAGCTTATCTTCCTGTTTTTTTTTGGACAATCATTTTTTTTATAACCAGTAGAGATATTTTTTACTGCAGATCGTAACTTTTTGAAAAATGTATAATAGCATATAAATATATGTAAGCCTCAAATTTAAAAAGCTTAGATTTGGATTGGATATTTCAAGGATAATGATTAACACTTGCAAGTTGCGGTAATAAAACTGTAATATTAATAAAATATACAAGTTAACAAATTGATGAAAAGTAAAATATTACCATTCAACAATAAACTTAAAACTAACCTGAATCTATACAATTGTCAACAGCAAACCAATATTTACAATATACACAATCACAACTCTTAATACGAAGTTCGCAGCTCGGAGTCCAATTACGTACTGAACTCTCAAACCAACAACAAGCCAAGCTTGACTAAAGTAAAGCTTACATATGTGGCGACCCTCGCCTATTACACTATCTATGTATTTTAGTCTTTTGTTTTGTAGATATATCATCATAATCATTGTAAATAATATGTAACACTCTGTATATATATAACTTCTGCTTTTCTTCAACTTGTAAATATTCTAACGAACTGCCTTTCTACTAACAGCATGTTAACAGTTTCTTTTCTGGATCTGACTTCCTGCCTTTTGAATGTATCTATACCTAACCCACATAAAGTATCCTATTTCATACTAACAAAAACCGATCGACAGAAAATTCTGAGAACGAAAGTCGACGGTTCCTTCTTTTCAAGAGCTGTACCCTAAAATAAAAACACATGTGCATATTCACTTTTCACTTCGTTACATAATTTCTGCACCCTCAAAGACCAGTCTCTCTCAGCCATTCTTCATATTAACATCTACCGACTTTCCGCTATTCTCTTTTACTCATCTTCATTTTCTGTAAAATAAATTCTCTACTTCTCTCTTCAACAAAGAGTTTTTCTTCATCGTCAATAATTACCCACACATATATAATTCTTTGGCAACAATTTTTATTTTCCTGCCATTCATTGCTATGCAGAAGGTATTAGTTTTACATTAAAACATGAAGGTATCTCTGAAAATAAGTCTGATCATGATTAATCACTGTGCCAATAGCATGTTTGGTAACTCAATAACTGTCATTTTGTATTACATGACAATTACATGTTTTTTTTTTCAAAATTTCTATTCACGCATGTGGATATATCGAACCTCTAAGCTCCACAAGTAGCATAACCTAATTGCTTTCTTTGAAATAGCGTGCGCAATAAAATAATTTAATCTATTGGCTCATTGTAGGAGAAGGCTCTGTACGGCTTATCCTTATTGAAGCAATTACAAAGTTGTCATCTTAGCATAAAGAACGCAAAATTGTCTAGGTAAACTTGCACTAACTATAGGATAATTCTATTTCACGAAAAACGAGGTAACTTTCCATTCAATGTAAAGTCTAAGCAGGGGATATACTTATTTTGCATTGGATTACACTGAATTGAGTACTGCATCGTGAACAGAAGTTTTAAAAAATGTACACCTAGAAAATACTCAAAAGCCTTTATTCCAGCCAGCAACTGAGTGGACGTTCGCTGCCTATCAGCGAGTAATTGACTGCCAACAATCGGCTCTACTTAGAGTCAAATTATTTTGTAGATTATTTAGAGATTAATATGACGAGCAGAATAAAACACTCTAGATTATCAGATAAACGAAGAATTTCGCTACTCTCTTAGATAGTGTTTTCTCTTCGTAGGATCTCTATGAAGTAGTCGCACCTGATAACAGTAAGATATTATTATTATTAGCTTGATTTTGATTTTATCAACGCAGTAAAATTTAGTAAACTACGTTCATTTTGAACAAAAACACAATCACGTATTGTGCACGTGATTGCTGAAAACTGAAACAGGGCTTATTTAAAACTAAAAGTACTATAAAAGATATCTTAATGTTTCGAAGACAATGAGGATGCTGAATAATAAGAAAGTACATAAGTCTAATTGAGATGTGTTTCGCAAAAACATCATAACTCCAAACTATTCATATTGAGTAAATATCTGTCTATCTTATTCTTATGAGATTTTATTGCTGTATCAAATGTACTTCTGCAAAAATGTCATTGAAACCAAGATGCACATAGTTAAAGTATTTCCGATTTTACGTAAAACACATATGATCAATGTGTTTTGAGTAAAGGCAAGACAAGTCCGTTACATATGCGGTATTTGATGGAAAATTAGATAGATTTATGTACTTTGAGTCTGTTTTGCGTTTTAATGTAATGTTGATGTAAGCGTTTTGCTTGTCTAAGTGCCTAGTGAAATATGAGGATTCAAAAATTTTGGTTGATGGGAGCATGGGCCATCACCTCCCGATGGACTAACGAAAACCATGCTGCGTACGTTCTAATTGATGATGTCACATTCAAAGTTGTTCTGATTTGGTCTATCTTGAAAGTAAAGAGGCAATAGTAGGTACTTGTTCAACTGTTGTCGTTTATCAAATCGATTTTTGATATAAAAGAGGAGCACTTAGTAAGTGAATAACAGAACCTTTTATTTTATTCGTTTGAAAATGTTGTCTAGAAAACATTTGCTTCTACTCTTGATAATGGTCAATTGTAAGTATATTTAGTTTTGTAGTAGACCTATTATTTTTTAAATCAATTTCTAATATAAATTTATTATTCATTAATATTTTTTAAAATAATAACATTGTTATAAGTAATACCTTTCTTCCAAAGAAGTTACAATATTATAATGTGTCAGCGATGGTTACGGTGATCCATCCCCTTAGCATTCGTTGAACAATTAGAACTTATAAAAAAAAAATAATAAAAAACCACTTGTGTGGAAAGCTCGTCATCAAATTGTTAATAGGAGAACTAAAAGTAAATTTTTTAGAGGTTTGGAAGTCATTGTAGATTGTATAATTCTTTGGTAAGTATTATGGAACTGACAGGATCTTAAACATTCGCGAATTTGTTCCCTAATGAATTCTTTTATGGATGAAATATATAGATGTATATTGTGGCATGAAATGATTTAGACTGAATTGAAGAGGAATGGAACCTAAGCATACCTATAACGGTATCGTGAACACTATAATAATAAACGAAATATTCAGTATATTGACCCTGGAATGAACTCCTTCTTCCATATAGGGTGTGTTCCATATACAGGGTCCTCTAGCATTTGGACACTGACATATTTATATTTTAGTCTGATTGCAGTACGGATTTTTTCATTGACCATTTGTTCCATAATGAACTTGATTTTTTTTTCCGAAAGTAAACAAGGAACGTATTTTCGTCGTATGAGGTTATGGTATTTTTTGTTCTTTATGTTTCGAAATCATTAAACCATTGTCTGTATCTTTCAGATGACTTTACAGGTAATAAATTATTCACTATTTCTCGTGTTCCTTCCTCAATATTTCAGGCGGTCATATTAATTTCGTCGCTGGAAATACATAAAGCGTCTGATAAATCCATTATTATTTATGCACTTTATGTATTTCTATTACTTATAAACTGCTTTGAAGCGCGTCAATTTGTTTATACGTGTTTTTAACGTGATTATAGACATTTTAGTGTTGTGTCTAAATCACCGTCAAATAATTGATTTCTGCGCATGTCCATAAACATACGCTCAGTGACTAACTTCACTACCTCCCGATTGAAAACGGACGAAAAAAGGTCATATCTTTCCTATTTAATAGCACGCAAAACGAGCTTTCCGTGGTAACATGACAAAAAGAAAATATTTGTGTTTGTTTGGTCGTTAAACTTAGTTTTTTATCCATTGCCTTTTTAATTTCGAAATATTCGGGTAAGGTTTTCATGGATACAGTATGTGATTGTTGTAACTGGTTCTTTGTTTATAGTTATTTCCTTTGTGTTCTGAAATTCAATGTTTTATGGCCCTCTTGCTCTGACCTGTGTATTATATAGCACATAATTGAAGTAAATGCGAAGCTGACGGGGAAGTGCTAAGACACCATAGAACAAGAAAAGTATGCCGTTTTCAAGCAAATCGAATTCGAAGGTGCAGGCTGGGGTCAGTACAGTCATGATAAATCATTTAGAAAAATACAACAACGACCTTCTTCTAATGATATCGTTTTCGCGACCTTCATCGCTAGCGTCATGAATGTTCTTCGTATGAACCACCCAAGGTTTCATATGATCAACAGAAGTAGATGTTTCTTGTGCGTCCTTATGCTTTCCTACTTTTTCGACCATGTAATGGTCATTCCGCAGTCTTTTACCTATTTTACAAGGTCCTACGACTTTCCTATGCAACTAACACTGAAATGCGTTCTTTTGATAGCTACTTACTCGCCCAACGAATAACATTTAATCGACTTTCTCTTTTTATTAAAATTACGATTTTCTTCTTAGTTCCGAGTAATTTTTTCCTTAGCGACTTGTCTCTGTTCTTCACGATTTTCGTGGGTACTACGTGGTCGAGTTGGTATGTGTCCAATGGGACATCCTCCTTACCGATTGAGTGTAGTAGCCTTTCTTGTCTTCCATGCTTTCTTTCTGTCTAAATACAATCTAGGAAGCTCACTATTGCCTGTTCGACTTTTTGATGCATCCTTATAAACCAAAACTCTTCACTAGATACGCTTTCTACCTTATTGACACCAAAATTTCCACGTTCGTGCTGAGTTTTCATGTATCAGCATTACAAGTAACACACTGCTTTCGACATTTTTGTGCAATAAAAAACTCCTGTCATTTGGGTTTGTTACCTTCATGTTTTTCAGTAAACTTCGGTTTTCCCATAATGGCCGGGATGTCATATACTTATTTATGGATGCTATTTACATCTTTTATTTAGCTAATTATGTTACACTAACTCACTGTTGCCACAACATTTCTGTTACCAATTGCTCATTGCTGCCAACTGTTTTTTACAAAATAAGGAGTTACTTATTTATCTACTGTACAATCATAGTCTCTTAACCTAACAGGTTCTTTTTTATTTATTATAAGTTTAGGTTTAGAATTTGTGTCTGTCTATCTGAACATTCGCTTTTATTTGCATCTTTAATTATATATTTTTCATTTCTCTGTAGTATTGAGCCATTATTCAGTTTTAAAATGTATGTCCTAACTTTAAACGAAATATTAATTAGGTATTTCGCCCTTTAACTGTTCAGTTTTATCTTGGTTTTGTACCTTGACGTTATCTCTATCGTTGTATGTAAATCCCGTTTTTCTTTAAAATGATCTGACAGCAGGAGCTTCCATTTCGGCAACATAATCATTTTTGTTGGCAAACCGCGATACCACGATACCACACTTCGGCCGATCAACGCAATTTACTTAAGCGAGGTGTATTAATCCCACTGCTGATATATAAGATACCAATAACGCTAAGTTTCACTTACTACTTAATTTTAATAAACATCAGTGAACATATAAAGCACTGAACAAAACAAATTCTGAAGGGAACGTCATCTGTCTTGGACGAAAGTTCGAAAAAGAATCCTTCCGTATCCTTCTCGATTAAAAGATTTTTTATATAATCAGACACCTCTCCCTCTGCAAACCAATTTAATTTGCTAATTATTCTTCAATAAACACGAGTACGATTAACTAGTCATCCGCTTACTATATTATTATTATTATGTACATACTTGTTGCAGGTCATTGACGTATTACAAGATACTTACTAGCTAACTTATTTTTAATGATCTTAGCCTAACTTAACCTAACATTGCTATTCGCTTAACATAAATGACCTCAATTTTACACTGTTTTGTTCAAAATATACCAATTTGCAAGCTTCATCATTATTTTTTATTCTTAGCACTTCAATAATTGTGTTTCCTTTGATATACTTTTCTCTAAACTCTTTATATGCCGAGCAATTGCATACTATGTGTTCCAGTGTTTCATTTTCGTTTCGGTAGCAACATCTACATATGTTTTTCTTGTCGATTGTATATTTCATTTTGTTTATTTTTATCGTGAGGGTTTCATTGTTTCATAATCGTAGTTGTGCTATTACTTGTTTAAACTTATTTGGAATGTTCCAGTCGAGGTAGTTTTCTCTGTTGAGTTTTTGTATATCCTTGATGTGTTTGTATGTCGGCATGTGTTCTGACTTTTGTATGCGTGTAATGTCTTTTTTGTATAGGTCTGCTGTTAGTTTGTCTAACATGTTGGGCATAGCTTGCAATATATGGCTGGCGCTTGTTCCATCCCGATCCCATAGGTCTTCATGTTCAACGCGACATAGTAGTTTTCTTATTGCTGAGCACCAGTTCCTTCTCCCTATGTTCAGGGGGGTTCTGTCCAGGTTGCGTAGCCAAACGTAGCATCTTCTTGGATATCTTTCTTCTGGCATTGTTAATATCTTTGCCCAATAATTAAATGCCCGTTTGGCTACTCTCTGCTCTAGGGACGTGGTCCCGGTTTCGCATCTTATCGCGTAGCAGGTTGTAGTTCTCGGGATGTTTGGGATGTTTCTTATAAAATTTCTTTGTATCAGAGTGTCATTTTTTGTTATTCTTGATTTTGTCACGTAGCTCCAAACAACGCAGCAGGCCATTCTGGTTCTCGCTTTAAAGAATTGGACCGCTTCTGTGAATAATCCTGATGTAAACTGTATTGTAGGTATGTGAAATTTTTGACCATTTCGATCTCGTGGTGTTGACCGTGAGTGTGTTTCCTTCGATATTTATATGTCCTTCAATTCTTCCTTCGATGTTTATATGTCCTTTTGCTTTGAAGTAGTCTGTGATATCTGCTAATAGTAGTATGAATAGGAGCGTACTTAGCGGGTCTCCTTGTAATACTCCCTCTATTATCGTGATTTCTTTGGTTTTACATCCTGGTGCTATTTTTATTTTTGTCGAGGCTTTGGAGTAGTATACTTGTAACACTCTGTTGATTTGAGGACTTCCCCTAAGTTGTTTAATTTTTTCCATAGCACTTCATGTACCACGGAGTCAAATGCCCTTTGAAAGTCCACGAACACCGCATACAGTTTGTTTTTTTCCTTAGTAACCGCGAAAGTAACCTTGGCATTTAGGATAATAATGTTATCCTCGCACCCTCTTCCTATCCGGAATTCCGCTTCTGCCGACAACTCGTCCAGACCCAGGGTTTTGTTGGGTTTTAGCCTTGTAATTGCGTTTGTGATTTCATCCGTTGTTGTCTCCACATCCAGCGTCTGGTATTTGTAGTACAGTATTGGATTTTGTTGCGACTTTACAGGCATTCTGGTTGTGTAAAATGTATACCAGTCGTCGTTTCTTCGTTCTTTTCTAGTTCACCGATTCTTTTATTAAGTTGTTCTTTTTCTTTCATCCAAGTTTTTTCTTTCTCAGCAATCCAGTCTTTTATTTGTTCTATGTTGCTCGTTACTTCCTTCTTGAAGTTTCTGAATTCGTTCATTAGCTTGAGATTATCCTCGCTTCTGTCTTCATTACTATTCTTTATTTCGAGGGAGAGGCAGTTTAGCTTTTCAAAAATTAGGTTTGTCAACTTGTTGTTTTTTGTACTTGTGTCATTAATTGTTTTATTATGTTTTTCTACGCTGTCATTCTCATTGTTAGTTAGCATACTAGTTATTTTCCTTGTCCCTTGAGCTTCTTTTTCGCTTAAGCGTGTTTTTGGTGGCCTACCGCTGGTACCCTTTATATCGGTATTGCATCGGTTCTATGGTATTGCACTTCCTCTACGGTTCTCCACTCGCCCTACTTTAGTATGCTGTGATGCACTGCTTCATATATCTCTATGGGTTCAACTGTGTTGCGCTGGTTCTTGTCAGTTCCTAACCCTCTTTCTTTAGTCTGCATTTTTTGCTTGGTTTCTCTTTCTTGGTAGTTATTTTTCCTTCTATCTGATCTTGTATTGCACTAAACCCTTTGTGGCTTCACTTTTGACTGCTTGTACTAATCTCTTGGCACTTATTAACGTTCAATTTACTGCCTTTGCGGGAGACCTCTAAAACGTGTATTCTAGTCTTCTTAGTTACCATAGAACCCACCCGCTTACTGCTATATCAAGTTGAATCGCATCCTCGCTCTTCTGATTCGCCTTCGATCACCTAGTACCTAACTATAATTGTTCTTTTTCAATCTCGCTGCAGTTACTTACACCGGCTGAATTTGTTCTAGGAAGATAAACGTTCCAGAATATAAGTTCTAGATAACTTTAACTTTTTGTAATATATCAGTGAAATCTCGGTAGCTCACAATAGGCTATTCTGGACATATCATGACGTTACAATTTGTTATAGATTTCTCACTAAATTCACTGAAATCCGCACAAATGGGTTTTTATATTTTTTTTAATCTTTTTATGAATAAAGATGATTTAAAAGCACTGCTACATTGCAAGTTGAAAGTGTAATATAGAATTCAGACAATAATAAAGTCTCTCCTTCTCAGATGACCTAACCTCTGGTGCGGTAACGCTAGAGGTGGACGTCAATTCGAATACTCATCCGATCTCGTCGTACATATACGGTACGTCATTTATGAACGACGTCGAGTTTGCCAAAGAGATCAAATTGTCGGTCGACAGATTTGGAGGCAACGCCGCCACCAGGTACAACTGGAAGATCGACGCGACCAACCGCGCGTCCGACTGGTTCTTCGAGAACTTACCCGAGGACAACAAATATCCGGAGAAACTTCCCGACGGATCTACAACTGACCTATTCGTCGAGAAAGACAAGTCGATCGGTGCACGCACGATGCTCACTATTTCGCTCATCGGCTGGGTGCCAAAGAACAGGTACTGTATTGTACGGACTTGCTTATGTTCATTCTGATCAAGGGTCATGGGGGGTTTCGTTGGAGCAGTAGACTGACTATATTAATTGTAGCAATTTCAATAATGGTGGGTATGACATAAATTAAGATTTCAAATAGCAAAATATTTCAATTTGAAACCAATTAATCACACGAATTGATCAAAAGGTGTCACAAGTCTGTCATTCAATTCAATACTCATTTTGAATCGCCACCACTAATATGATGTACAACTGCAGCAGTGACATGATATATTCTTCAGTACGTACAGAGCAGAAGGTGTAAATATGGAATACCATTTTGTTCAGTACAAAGAAAAAATTTTTTAATTTGCAGAAATAACACAAATTTAGGGAAAAGGTACTTTAGACAATTATACACCAACATATAAAAGCAAATGTGTAATAATCCAAAACATTATTACAAAAAAAGTTTAAAATGAAAAAATGACAAAATACACATTTAAAAAAAGGTGGTTTCAAATATGGAATGCGTTAAAAACCTAAGATATAATAAACCAACATATTGCTTACTTGCACCAGTCGCAAACATACTCGTCTTTTTCGGCGCTTGCACACTCATTATAGGCCCACATTGAGCACATTAAGCACTGAACTCATAATCCTCTCCTCTGATCAGTAGAAAACGCATGTTCGCAAAACATGCAATGAGCATCGTCCTTATTCGGTTGTAATTGTCCCGGCATATTTTCCAAATCGTTGTCAGAATCGTCAAATTCTACATTCTTTCTTGAATCCTCGGATCCATCAGAAGAAAGTTCACTCTTTGGCCGTTTGACTATGTGATTTCACTTCTTTTGTGTTTGAGAACCTCTTTTTTGCTTCAAAGATTTTCTAGAAGACAAGTTTCTTTTAACGCCACGTGCTTTTGCTTCCTTTTCAGTTTTTTTACTTATTGACTCATTTAATTCGTCTTTGTAAGGTGAAGAAGTTATAACAGTCGATCCAATTGTCTTGCGGAGATATTTCGAACAGACAAGCTCCTGGGTTAGATATAGATCAACTTCTGAAGCAGAGTTTTGATTTTGCTCAATTCTAAAAGGTGCAGTGTCTTTGCATGGCGTTTTGGAACATGAAGGTTTTTCGACAACAGCAGTCAAAGATTTGGAGCAGAGAGGTTTGTCGAAAGAGGAGGTAGAAAGTTTTGTTGTTATAGCTTCTTGAATATTAACGCTAATTCCACTTTTCACCGCGTTTTGTTCCGCAGCATTTCCAAATAGTTCCATAATATCAAAAGGAATAAGAGTCCATCCAAAGGCTGGAGCTTGTGTGTTGAATGGGGGGGCCGACATAAAATGCTAACATGGTTATCCCTTGCAAGGTCAATAACGTCGATATTGCGAGTGTGGCTGTAGTGGCCATCAAGGATTAAAAGGAGAGGGTTTTCTTGAGTTGGTTTAGTGAACTGAATAAAGTGACGAAACCACTGAAAATATGGGATTGTACCCAACCTGATGGATATGCAGTTCCTACGGACCCAGGAGGAGCTCCTTTCATAAGTTGCATATTCATATTTTTTCGAGGAAAAATAACTAACAGAGGGACAAAGTTTCCAGCCGCATTCATACAAAATATAATGGTAATCATTGCTCCCCTCTCTGCTGATGTTAATGAAGCAACTTGACGTTTACCTTTCAGCCCTATAACTGACGATACTTTAGTTTGGACGATTATTAAATCTGTTTCGTCTACGTTATAAACGTTGTGTGGGGAATAATGCATTTGTTTTTCGTGGAGGTCAAAAAAGCCGTCAACTCTTTCTTTGCAAAAGCCTACAGCTTTCGCAAATGATGTTCCTGTCGGCTTTCTTATTGATAACATTGGATGTCACTTTGAAAACAAATCAATCCAAGCTCTGTCTGCTAATTCAGAAATTGAAAACGGGTGTTTAATTTTATTGCTTATGGCCAACTGATAAGCTATGCGTCTCAGATCTGTCATCGTGAGCCCATAAAATTTGGACTCCATTATTAAAATATATTCAACTAGTGGTTTCTCGAGCTCTGGTCCTAAAACACATTTTCTTCCAAGCTTAGTCACTGCAGCTTTATCTGGAGGAACTGTATTTATTTGACACAGACGAAAGAGCGTTGTGCGGGGAACCCCATAGGTTTTGGATGCCTTTAGATATCCCATTGTTCTTTCTCTTACTGCCTTGATGGCCCTAGCCATGTCCTCTTCCTTGTACTGCTTTCTTTTATTATCGCAAGGCCGACGATCAATATTTCGTGGCATCCTCAGAAAGAAAATAAAGAAGATAATAATCTTATACAATTTAAAAAGGTTGGTGCAAATGTGGAATACTGGTATTCCATATTGCCAACAACCCATGTCATCAATATATAAAATTCGATCTAGTCTATAGTTAAAAAAATTATAAATAAATACAACGTCATCTTAAATTTGAGTTTAATATGAAATATTACACGCTACCTCAAATTAATGAGGGAAAAATTGTTGCTGTTGTCCAAATTGTATGTATGTTTAATCATACTATATTCAGTATATATAGTCACATTAGTACGAGGGATCGTTAGGCTTGTAGGTCGGTTGGTTGTGGTTGCTGTTGTCACCTCTCGTAGTTTAGTGGTCAGAACATTGGTGCGTAAAGCCAAAGGTCCCGGGTTCGATTCCCGACGGGGGTGTGACAACAGCAACAATTTTTCCCTCATTAATTTGAGGTAGCGTATAGTGGATATAAAATTCAAAAATGAATTTTCAGAATAATATTTCATATTAAACTAACTCACTTCGAAAAGATGTCTAAATTGTATGTAAATTTGAGTTTATGAATAGTGGCATCGTAAAAAATAGTTGAATAAAATCTTTTAAATAAACCAGTTAGGTGTGCATATTTACTTACGTGTTAAAATTACCAGCATGCAAAATTCACTTCCATGCACATGACAAACCGATATCATACTAAAACGGAATAACCTTCAATACTGATGGCAAACATTGACAAGTTTAACTACTTCTCGACAGAGGGTGGCACTTGGTTTGGTAAAAACCGGGGTATTCTATATTGTAAGCAAATTCCATTTTTACACCTTCTCATCTACTTTTCGACATTGTTGGCTCCGTTCAATATTGAATATTTTGCGTCTTATAAGTTCTAACAATATTTTTTAGTGACTTCCATAGAGTCCTCTATTCTCTTATTCTTTCCAATACCTCCTTCATTTCTAACCTTTTCTACTCACGATATCCTCATCATCCGCCTATAACACCACATTTCAAACGCTTCTAACCTTTTCTTTTCCGCCGCGCCCACTGTCCATGTTTCGCATCCGTACAGCGCCGTGCTCCAAACATACACCTTTAATAACCTTTTCCGAATTTCTAAATTAACCGTTCGCGAGCATAGAAGTGACTTGTTTTTATTAAAGGCGACACGACCCTGCGCTATCATCTGCTTTGTATCCCTACTACTCCTTCCGTCCTGACTTATCTGACTTTCTAGATATCTAAAATCAGCCACTTTTTCTAATTTTTCGTCTCCTGTCTCTCTCTGATCAGTAGAAAACGCATGTTCGCAAAACATGCAATGAGCATCGTCCTTATTCGGTTGTAATTGTCCCGGCATATTTTCCAAATCATTGTCAGAATCGTCAAATTCTACATTCTTTCTTGAATCCTCGGATCCATCAGAAGAAAGTTCACTCTTTGGCCGTTTGACTATGTGATTTCACTTCTTTTGTGTTTGAGAACCTCTTTTTTGCTTCAAAGATTTTCTAGAAGACAAGTTTCTTTTAACGCCACGTGCTTTTGCTTCCTTTTCAGTTTTTTTACTTATTGACTCATTTAATTCGTCTTTGTAAGGTGAAGAAGTTATAACAGTCGATCCAATTGTCTTGCGGAGATATTTCGAACAGACAAGCTCCTGGGTTAGATATAGATCAACTTCTGAAGCAGAGTTTTGATTTTGCTCAATTCTAAAAGGTGCAGTGTCTTTGCATGGCGTTTTGGAACATGAAGGTTTTTCGACAACAGCAGTCAAAGATTTGGAGCAGGGAGGTTTGTCGAAAGAGGAGGTAGAAAGTTTTGTTGTTATAGCTTCTTGAATATTAACGCTAATTCCACTTTTCACCGCGTTTTGTTCCGCAGCATTTCCAAATAGTTCCATAATATCAAAAGGAATAAGAGTCCATCCAAAGGCTGGAGCTTGTGTGTTGAATGGGGGGGCCGACATAAAATGCTAACATGGTTATCCCTTGCAAGGTCAATAACGTCGATATTGCGAGTGTGGCTGTAGTGGCCATCAAGGATTAAAAGGAGAGGGTTTTCTTGAGTTGGTTTAGTGAACTGAATAAAGTGACGAAACCACTGGGTGAAAATATGGGATTGTACCCAACCTGATGGATGTGCAGTTCCTACGGACCCAGGAGGAGCTCCCTTCATAAGTTGCATATTCATATTTTTTCGAGGAAAAATAACTAACGGAGGGACAAAGTTTCCAGCCGCATTCATACAAAATATAATGGTAATCAATGCTCCCCTCTCTGCTGATGTTAATGAAGCAACTTGACGTTTACCTTTCAGCCCTATAACTGACGATACTTTAGTTTGGACGATTGTTAAACCTGTTTCGTCTACGTTATAAACATTGTGTGGGGAATAAGGCATTTGTTTTTCGAGGAGGTCAAAAAAGCCGTCAACTCTTTCTTTGCAAAAACCTACAGCTCTCGCAAATGATGTTCCTGTCGGCTTTCTTATTGATAACATTGGATGTCGCTTTAAAAACAAATCAATCCAAGCTCTGCCTGCTAATCCAGAAGTTGAAAACGGGTGTTTGATTTTATTCCTTATGGCCAACTGATAAGCCATGCGTCTCAGATCTGTCATCGTGAGCCCATAAAATTTGGACTCCATTATTAAAATATATTCAACTAGTATTTTTTCCAGCTCTGGTCCTAAAACACATTTTCTTCCAAGCTTGGTCACTGCAGCTTTATCTGGAGGAACTGTATTTATTTGACACAGACGAAAGAGCGTTGTGCGGGGAACCCCATAGGATTTGGATGCCTTTAGATATCCCATTGTTCTTTCTCTTACCGCCTTGATAGCCCTAGCCATGTCCTCTTCCTTGTACTGCTTTCTTTNCTCTAAAATTCCTTTTAATCATATTAAAAACCTGATCCGTTTTATCCACTTCTACTTATTTACACCTCCTATCAATCCATTGTTCCTGAGCTGCCCTAAACTTCCTATTTATTTCCCACTTTATATCTTTATATCTTTTTTGCCCTTCTTCGTCTGTCTTGTTTTTGTATTTCCGCCTTTCTTCTATTAATCCTTTTCTCCCGCCGCCTTTAGTATTTCGTCTTTCCTTGTATCTAGCCTATCACGCATTTCGTTACATTGTAGCTTTTCTAAGTCAAGACGTCTCCTACTTTTCCTTTTTCTCCGAATTTTTAATTAATGATTGATCTTCATAACTACTGAGTTATGATGGTTATCTATATCTGCTCCTGGATAACTATCAGTCTATCTCCTCTATTATTTCTATAGTTTAAACCAAAACAACCTGCTACTGCACCAACTTTATCTTCAATTGTTACCGCTTTGAAGTCTCCTGCAACTATTAGATTTTCCTGCCTTTCACTAAACCTAATACGTCTTCTATATCTGTGTAAACCGTTTCAATGTCTTCATCACTATAACATGAAGTAGATATGTAGACCTGCA